GTTACTTTTGATGGGAAAAGAGAAGATTACTTCCCTGAACTCATGAAATGGGCCTCTGCAAATGGAGCGTCTGTGGAGGGCTTTGAAGTGGTTAACTTTGAAGAAGAGGGCTTCGGCTTGAGAGCAACGAGAGAGATCAAGGTGAGTTCCTGAGATGTTACCCTGGGGCGCCCATTTGTGTGTGCGCGTGGACGGTGGGGTGGTAAGCGGGCAGCATGCACGCTGCCTTGCTGGCAGCTGTCTCCTGAGCTCACCCCTGGCCCGGAAGAGCCCCGGCCCCGCCCGCTCGTCCTCCTGGGGTCCCCACTGTTGACCAGTGCCTTGGGACAGGTCAGTTCACAGTCCCAGCCTCTGTCAGGAGCCCCTGGATGGAGCCTCCCAGGATCTTGAAAGTTAATGAGGAAAGGGGTGTGGCTTGTGGTTTGGAGGGGGCGGTGCTGAGGTGCCTGTCGGCATCGGCAGTGGATGGCAGAGGGACTGAAGGCGCCCGTCGCCAAGACAGCTGCCCGAGGCAGTGAGCAGGGAAGCGGCACTGCCGGGGCACAGGTGCTTTCTCTTCCCCGTCCTTCCTTCCCGGTGAGGCAGCAGGCCCCACTCCTGCCCCGCCTGCACTTTGCTGAGCTTGGGGACCCGGCCTGGCCTGTCTCTGTGGGAGCTGGTTGCCCACTTGAGTCCACTCCACTCTGCTCTCTGTGCCCTCTGATCTTCGGGGGATCCCTGTGGGGTCCAGATGTGCCCGTACGCCTTAGGGGAGCCAGGTCCTTCTGGGATTATTTTGGGCAAACACCTGTTGTGCCCCATCACCGCTCAGGGCTTGAATAGAAGAGATGGGTGCTGGGCCAGAGCTGTGGTACAGCAGATAAAGCCACTGCCTGCGGTGCCGGCATCCCATGTGGTCGCCAGTTCGAGTCCCAGCTGCTCCACTTAGGACCCAGCTCCCTGCTAATGCACCTGGGAAAGCGGTGGGAGACGGACCAAATGCTTGGGTCCCTGCACCCACAGGAGAGACCCAGAAGAAGCTCCTGGCTCCTGGTTTTGGATTGGCCCAGCCTCAGCGGTCTGGGCCATTTGAGGAGTGAACCAGCAGGTGGAAGATCTCTCCCTCTCTGCCTCTCTCTCTCCTTTCAACTAAAATATCTCTATTTCTTTCAACTAAAATAAAAATAATTAAAAAAACAAAAGCGAGATGGGTGCTTAGGTGCCGGGCCCTCACCTCTCCAGTGTCACCTTTGGCCAAGTTGTGGTTGGCTTTTTACTGAGTCTGTACTGATCTGCTCCTCACCTGTCAAGCGTCCGCTGTGTGAGTAATTTCTCGTTTATTATCACGTCAGACTTCCAAACAAGGAAACAGATGAACCTCAGGATCTCTTCCTTCCTGGCTTGTGACCTGTGGCAGGAGATAGGACACGTAGGCAGGTCAGGTTGTGGACCTCGGCAGAGTCCTGCTGTCCCGGGTCAGCCAGGAAGCATCTCCAGTGTGTGTGCTGTTGAGACTGTCTCAGCTGTGGCCTCTTCAGTGTGCTTTGTACACTTGCATACTTGTTTTTGGCATAAACAACAAGCATTTCTTTCCTAGAGCTCTGCAGGATGGGAAGTCCAGCGTGGTCTGGTTCTGGTGAGGGCCTTCTTCCTCCTCTGCCGGCCACCACCCTCCTGCTGTTTCTTCAAGTTTAAGTTGAAAGTCCCTTTTTTGCCTTTTTAGTCTATATAATTTTTCTGTTGGAAATAGAATTTTAAACTGTGCTTCTACTCATTTAATGTCACATAAGTTCTTTTGTTTAAATTTCTTTATGTAGAAATGAATTGCTGTTATTCAGCCTGAAGTTATATTTCTCATGTGATTGAATTTCTGACCACTGATTTAGTTGAAGGTTGAAACGTATTTTGATGGTTCTGCTGTTTTCTTATCTCTTACCCCTAGGCAGAAGAATTATTTTTATGGGTTCCACGAAAATTATTAATGACCGTTGAATCTGCTAAAAACTCAGTACTGGGTGAGAATAACTTCTGTTTGTTTGTTCAAGGCAAAGCACAAATAATAAAAAACTGTAGTTTGTAAAATTCTGTTTTGTGGTGCTTCAGGACCGTGTTTGATTGTTTTCCTAACTGGTGAAGTATTCTTCAGATCTGTTTTTTTTTTTTTTTTAGCTACAGTCAAAAGAAAGATGCATTAAGACTTTAAATGTTTTCAAGGTGTTTTAGTTAATTTTAAATTTTAGTATGTATTTGGAATGAATGCTTTTTAAAGAAAGGTTGTGGAACTTACGCTGTTGACTTCTGGGTTAATCCAGGGCCTCTGTATTCTCAAGACCGAATTCTTCAAGCCATGGGGAACATCGCCCTGGCCTTCCACCTGCTGTGTGAGCGAGCCAGCCCCAACTCCTTCTGGCAGCCGTACATCCAGACGCTCCCCAGTGAGTATGACACGCCCCTCTACTTTGAAGAAGACGAGGTTCGCTACCTGCAGTCGACGCAGGCTATCCACGATGTCTTCAGTCAGTATAAAAACACCGCCCGGCAGTACGCCTACTTCTACAGGGTTATCCAGGTGAGCACCCGTTCACTCACGTAGATGCCGGGGAGCTGGATTGTGGCAGCGTTCCACGGGACAGCCTCCTCGGGTGCTTAGGCACGCGCTCACTCCGTGTCGCGGCGGCTGTTCGCAAACGTCCCGCTGAAGTACGGGTGCGCTTCTGGGCTCGCCAGTGTTTGTACAAGCAGCAGTTCCTGAGCTGTGAGAACCGCTGGATTTTTTTGGAAGCAAGAGATTACAACGAAATTTTAAAACCATGAAGTGTATTTAGTACAAAAAGATGCTCTGTGTATAAACTTTCCCAGAAAATGAAAGCCATTTTTGAATTTCCCCTTTTTGTTAGCTGTCAAAAGACTGACCATTTAGTAAACTGTAGCGTGATTTGGGTTCAGAGTGTCCCGTGTTTTGCATCAGCTTTAGTTAGCTGTGAGTGGCAGAGTGACGTGGAAATCTCTAAGGCAGGAACGCTGAGTTCCACCTGATTTCGCCGGATTACACTGGCTGTGTTGGCAGCTCAGCCACCTTGTCTGTCATTTCCAGCTGGAAGGCTCGGGGCAGTGCTGCAGTCGCCTGCAGAGCCGAGTACTGTGTCTGCCCGCCACTCTCCCCGCGTCTCCAGTCAGCTGCTGTTGCTGGGCCCGTTGCGTGGCGAGTGTGCATGGTGTCTCGCTCCTCTCCCCGTGCTCCTTTGACCCTGAGTCAGGTTGACTTGGTTGTTCCTCTTTGCCGGAAGTAGTAATTCCATCTCTTTGCTGTAGGTAACACTGCTTTCCGTATAGTTCTTTAACTTCTCAGTATGCTTACTGCACAGAATCTTAACACTTTGTTGAATCTGCCACCACCAGTAGATCGAAAATTGGATGACTCTGTTGTCTTCAAGTGGAAATCAGTGTGACGCTCTAAACCTCCAGCCTTAGTGATGGCTATGTGGGCTGTATATTGCTTTTGTTTCAAGTTTGCTTGCCTTGCAGCCCAGCGTGGAGCCAGCTCAGCTCTTGGTGGAGTGTGCATCTGCTCCCCTGCAGGTGGCTCTTGGGCCCTGAGGGGCTGTGCATTTGTTCTTTGTCCTCAGTTGTTCCTCTTCAACGAAAAACCTAAAGCTGAGTTCAGTAGGTCCTTGTCATTTCCTGTTGTTGTACAGAGAGCGACAAAGGAGCTTTTTCTGCGACTGTGTTTCTGAGATCTGTTCCGAGTTGGCAGTCTGTGGCCTCTGCAGTGAGAGGAACAGTTCTGTTGTCAGGCTGGATGATCGCTGGTCTGCTTACTGCAGGGCGTGTTCAGGTCGTCCCTGAGCAGTCACGTCACAGAGGAAACCGCTCAGTGTGTGTTCAGGTCGTCCCTGAGCAGTCACGTCACAGAGGAAACCGCTCAGTGCGTGTTCAGGTCGTCCCTGAGCAGTCACGTCACACGGATGAAACCGCTCAGTGCGTGTTCAGGTCGTCCCTGAGCAGTCACATCACAGAGGAAACCGCTCAGTGCGTGTTCAGGTCGTCCCTGAGCAGTCACGTCACACGGATGAAACCGCTCAGTGCGTGTTCAGGTCGTCCCTGAGCAGTCACGTCACAGAGGAAACCGCTCAGTGCGTGTTCAGGTCGTCCCTGAGCAGTCACGTCACAGAGGAAACCGCTCAGTGCGTGTTCAGGTCGTCCCTGAGCAGTCACGTCACAGAGGAAACCGCTCAGTGCGTGTTCAGGTCGTCCCTGAGCAGTGACGTCACACAGAGGAAACTGCTCTGCCACCGTAAGCCAGGCCCTCTGCCCCCGAGAGAAGGGGAAGTGCCTCCTGGTGCCCCCTCCGGCACAGCACGCGAGTGAGCGTGAGCCTCTCTGGGATTAGGGCGTGCTGAGGTTCCGTAGCCTGCAGGTTGCTCCAAGAGCACTTCCCGCCTGGCAGAAGCAGCATGCTACCTTGTGCTGAAGACAGTCGCCAGTCTAAAAGCATTAACGACTGTCATTTCAAAGCCAGTGTTCTGTGTTATTGACGAGTTCTGCATCAGTAGATGTGAAACTAGGCACAGGCTGAGGGTTCCGATGCCCAAGTGCAGATTCAGTGTTTGCATGGGGGGTGCTCACCTAAGTCTGCCACAGTCAGAAAACTGAAATCTGAACGCTCGTGGCTCCAAGCCAGACACACCCCTCACCTTGTTGGCACAAAGTAGAATTACAGCTCATCGGACATCGGCTGTTTTGCAGAATTAAGTCAGTCTATTTGAAAACAATTATTATTTAGAAATTGGATATTTTTCTGTCGAAAGATTCAGGTGGAGGAGAGGGTAGAATGTGTCTTATTTTACATGGGGACAACATTTGGGGGCCTTCTAGATTGTTAAACTGGAGTGGGGTGCTGTGTCCAGCACCCACAGGAATTTCTCAGCCCAGGTGCCAGCAGTGCTGAGTGTGTGTGCAGAACTGAGCACCTCCAGTGAGTTTATTATCTCAATTTTTTTTTTTTTTTTTTGACAGGCAGAGTGGACAGTGAGAGAGAGAGACAGAAAGGTCTTCCTTTGCCGTTGGTTCACCCTCCAATGGCCGCCGTGGCCGGCGCGCTGCAGCCGGCGCACTGCGCTGATCCGATGGCAGGAGCCAGGTGCTTCTCCTGGTCTCCCATGGGGTGCAGGGCCCAAGCACTTGGGCCATCCTCCACTGCACTCCCTGGCCACAGCAGAGAGCTGGCCTGGAAGAGGGGCAACCGGGAAAGAATCCAGCGCCCCGACCGGGACTAGAACCCGGTGTGCCGGCGCCGCTAGGCGGAGGATTAGCCTAGTGAGCCGCGGCGCCGGCTGCTTCTATGGTTTTGGAAGTCGCGGTCATTTCCTTCCACTGACTGGTGGCCAGGGGCTGGGCTGACACTGCTGTGAGTGACGTCACCTGCTGGATTGTGAGGTTGTCTCGCTCCCCAGTTCTGCCTTCCCTGGTTCTGTCTCGCTATATGCTGTGGCTGGTACAAAATGTATCCTAGGGCATTTTGCTTACTCTGTTATAACAAACATCACTTCTTTTATTAAAGAAAAACTGAGCAGTTTAAGTCCAGTTTTGGGGATGTTTGACTTGTTAGGGAAGCTGAAGTCCCTGTGGTGGTTAGGAGTCCAGTTTCCTTTGGCGTGGTGGGGTGGAGCCACTGCAGGCCTCGGTGTGATAGCCGAGCCGGCCTACCAGAGATCGATCCCTGCGATGTGAGCTTGGAGCTGGTCCCCTTGGACAGGTCGACAGCGTGGCCTGCAGTGGGCGGCAGGAGGTGATGCGCGTGCAGGCCTGGCCCACTTTGCCCACTGCCACGGCGCTGCACTTGTGGTGTTTGGTTGTTTTGTTTCCTTGTGTTTTCAATCATTTTTCCTCCTGCAGTGCCTTAGGTTAGCGTTTTTTAGCCTTCTCTAGGGGCCAAAGATAATGAAGCCCGCAAGGCTAGAGATGCGGCCCACAGCAACCCTCACTCACTTGGAACTGCTTCTCGGTGTCAGGACGTGTTCGGGCTCGGGTTCTTCATGTTAAAGTCAGGTAAATACTGACATTTGCTGTGGGTTTCGAATCGTGGAGTCAGGTTTGTTGGGAAACACCCCTGCTCTTCCCAGGAGCACAGGGTCTCCGGGGGCCTGGAGCATTGCAGCCTCTACCTGTGCTGACCCCGAGGGCTTGGGCCCTCACCCGACCCCCTCAGCCCTGCTCTGGGTCTCTTTCAGAAGAAGAGAATGTGACAGTCGCTAACAGTAGGACGAAGTGGCAGAAGAGACCGTTGCAAGTTAGAGCGACACAATAATGAGCCTTGTAGGCGATGTCCCGGCCGCGATCCGTGCTTGCTGGGACGGAGGCTGCAGCGCAGGGAAGCAGGCCGACCTCCGGGCGCTGTCGGCTGGGTGCAGGGGTTTTCACTTGAGCTTTCATGGCCACGAGAAACGGATTTAAGCAAAGGTTATCTTTTAAAAATCACCCGCCAAGTCTCGCTACTTTCCTCATTTTGGAATGTTATGGCTTTTAAAAGTCTTCGTAGTAAACACAGATGTAAACAGTGTACTGCTGTTACTGTATCAGTGTCATCTTTTCTCACTTCAGTGCCAAACCAAGTCTTTTTCTCCTACTTTCTATTCTTTTTTTTCTTTTTTCTTTCTTTTTTCTTTTTCTTTTTTTTTTTTTTTTTGACAGGCAAAGTTAGACAGTGAGAGAGAGACAGAGAGAAAGGTCTTCCTTCCGTTGGTTCACTCCCCAAATGATTGCTACAGTCAGTGCTGCACCGATCCAAAGCCAGGAGCCAGGTGCTTCTTCCTGGTCTCCCATGGGGTGCAGGGCCCAAGCACTTGGGCCATCCTCCACTGCCTTCCCGGGCCACAGCAGAGAGCTGGACTGGAAGAGGAGCAACTGGGACAGAATCCGGTGCCCCAAGTGGGACTAAAACTGAAGTACCGGAGCTGCAGGTGGAGGTTTTTTTTTTTTTTTAAAGATATATTTGTTCATCTGAAAGGCAAAGTTACAAACATAGAGACAGTAAGAGAAAGAGATCTTCCTTTGCTGGTTCATTCCCCAGATGGCCTCAACAGCCTGAGATGAGCCAGGCCAAAGCGTGGAACCAGGAGCTTCACTCAGGTCTCCCACGTGGGTGGCAGGGGCCCAGGCATTGGACCATCCTCTGCTTTTCCCAGGCCATTTACAGGAAACTGGATCAGAAGTGAAGCAGCCTAGAGACCCACAGGGGATGCCAGGGTCGCAGATGGCAGCTCTAAGAGCTACACCACAGTGTTGGCACCTCTTTCTCCTGCTTTTCCCAGATCTGGTATTGGGTTTTAGCTCCCTTTTGCCCTTTTTTTTTTTTTAAAGGTTTATTTATTTATTTGAAAGTCAGAGTCGCACAGAGGAGGAGAGGCAGAGAGAGAGAGAGAGGTCTTTCATCCGATGGTTCACTCCCCAGTTGGCCACAATGGCCGGAGCCACACTGATCCGAAGCCAGGAGCCAGGAGCTTCTTCCGGGTCTCCCACACGGGTGCAGGGTCCCAAGGACTTGGGCCATCTTCCACTGCTTTCCCAGGCCATAGCAGAGAGCTGGATCTGAAGTGGAGCAGCTAGGTCTTGAACTGGCACCCATATGTGATGCCAGCACCTCAGGCCAGGGCATTAACCTGTTGTGCCACAGCACCAGCCCCCCCCTCACCCTTTTGAGAAGGCTTCCTTTCCTTTCTAAGGCAGAGTGACAGAGAAAGGAGGAGAGAGAGTGACAGAGAAATCTTCCATCTGTTGGTTCACTCCCCAAATGTTGGCAAATGCTGGCACTGGACAAGGCTGAGCCAGGAACCAGGAACTCTGTCCGGGTCTCACGTGGATGGCAGGAACCTGAATACTTGGGCTCTCACCTGTTGCCTCCTGGGCACGTTAAACAAGCAGCTGGGTCAGAAATGGAAGAACCAGTACCTGATGAGGGCGTCAGATGCATGAGTGCAGCCTGCTGTGCCACATGCCCACGCTTCTCTTTTATTTTCGTGGGTCACCTCATCAGTGCCTTGTCACTCGGGGAGCGATGAGGACCGTGCCAGTGCAGAGGTGACACCTGCATGACAGCAGTCTCACTGTAGTTGGCTCCCTTGGCACTGTGGCCCTTCACCTCTGTAGTTGTGAGGACCCTCTGCACAGAGAGATGTAGGGGTCATGGGTCACAGTCACAGAGCACTTGGGAAGGAGGGTGCGTGTGTGTGTGTGTGTGTGTGTCCAGACTCCAGAGCTCTATCTGTGGTTTTTAGATACGGTTTTCCCCCAAAATCACATTCCTAGGGCATACACCAACCCATGACTTTCATATTTGTTATGAAAGGTTACAGAGAGGCAGAGGCAGAGAGATAGACAGAGACAGAGAGAAAGAGAGATAGAGAGAGGAGAGAGGTCTTCCATCCACTGCTGGTTCACTCCCCAGATGCCCACAATGGTTGGAGCTGCACCAATCTGAAGCCAGGAGCCAGGAGCTTCTGGGTCTCCCACGTGGGTGCAGGGTCCCAAGGACTTGGGCCATCTTCCACTGCTTTCCCAGACCACAGCAGAGAGCTGGATCAGAAGTGGAGCAGCTGGGTCTCACACGGGTGCCCGTATGGGATGCTGGCACTGCAGGTGGCGGCTTCACCCACTCACCACAGCACCTCTGATTTGTTTTCCTCACTTTCCCTATTATCGTGGTTGTTGCCTAAAAGCTAGAAAAGTCGTTGCCTGAGCTCTGCCTGTCCCACTGTGCCTTCTTGGGCAAAGCCTCTTAGCATGGGCACTTGTTAGTTAGTTCAGGTCAGCTGGTCTCTTCACTGCGCTCCACACAGTTTGCTTAAAGCCGCGTGCTCCTCTGTGTCGTGGGGCACTGGGCTCTGGATCCCTGCAGACTCCTCCAGGAGTTCACAGATGCTGGGGTGCGGCTGTCCTTGAGGGGCTCCGCAGCTGCACTGTGGAACAGGACACCGCCAGCACCAGGGATTTTTGAGAGCGCACAGCCCTGCTGGTGAAACTTTACACGGCGGCTTCAGGAGTGAGGAACGTCAGAGGCTAAGTTTAGAAGGGGCTGGGCTACATGCGGAAAGGGCTTGTACACCCCACGTCAGGCAGGATTTCTGTCAGTTTGTGAAATGGGGCCAAGGGAGAAGAGACCACTGGTGGCCCAGGGGAGCCCGGGCACTTCTCACTGCTGCAGGGCCTCAGGCCTGGAGAAATGCCACCAGTAGTGAAGACAAGTTCAGCTCCAGGCTGGGACTTGTGCAGGGGAAACAGACCAACAGTTTTGTGCTAGAAGTCAGTGGAGAAGCAGGATCTGACTTAAACCGCTTGGGAGGGTGTGGTTGTGTGAAGCAGATTCTGTGAGATTTTACTTGACCCGACTTAGCCAAATGGTAGTCGAGGTGTTTTTACCTGTGTCAGTGAAAAGGAAATCAGTAGACCCTGTGAATGAACTGTTCATTCACATCTCATGGGGCAGGTGCTGTTAACAGAGGAGCCAGCTCGTCCTAATATTAAGAATTATCATCGGGACGTACACATTTTTCTGTGTTGTTGAGAGTAAATTGATGCTTTTCAAAGTAAATGCCACGTGTCCAGGGTTTGACAGAACAGAGTCACGTTTCCATCGATCTCACAGGGCAAGTGGTTTGTCGCACTTTGTGCTGATCAGACGGTGTGAGAGGCTCAGGGAAAGAGGGTAGATGGGCTAACTCCTCTGTGCACTGACTGCTGCGCATTTTATTTCAAGGCGAGAGTCTTGCCGTGAGCGCCCACTGCTCCTGCCTAAACCTTAGGACAGAGCCAGGCAGTGCCAAGTCGGCTCCCTTCCTCAGAAAGGCAGCGTCTCCTGCCATGGCTGTCTCCAGAAAGAGGGCGCGAGAGGCAGAGGCTGCGCCTTTGGTTCTGGGCGTTGCGTGGCTGTGTGGCTCAAGGCAGCAGCTGCTTCTCCCGTCTCCTGCACTGCCTGCCTCTGATGGAGCCACACAAGCACAGCACAGGGTGTGCATTTCCAGAGATGCATTCAGCCTGCGTTTTCATAAATCTCTCATCTGCAGCAGAAATCTGATCACACACGAGGCCTTCAGAAATGTGCACCAGGCAGAGTGGAAACCTCTGGGCCAGGGGTGCTGTGGCACAGTTGGGTAAGCTGCCGCTTGGGACTCCTACCCCATGTTGTGGTGCTGCTTTCAGTCCCAGCTCCTCTGCCTGCTGGTGGCTGAGAAGGCAGCAGATGATGGCCCAAGTTTGGGTCCTTGCCCCCGACACGGGGTCCAGATGGAGTCTCGGTTCCAGATTGGCCCAGTCTTGGCTCTTGCAGGCATTTGGAGCAGTGTGGAACAGCAGATGATGGGAAGTCCCTCTATTGCTCTGTCTTTCCCTCTGTCACTCTGCCTTTCCAATAAATTAGATATATATAAATATATGTAATGTAATGTGTGGCACTGTGACACTATGGCAGTGAATTGACAACCATGATGACTGCTAATGGGCAGGTAGCACAAACAGCATGGATACGCTGGGCAAAGAGACGATTCAGAAGGTTTCATTGCAGTGTTTAGGACAACACACAGTTTAAAACTTGTGAATTATTTATTTCTGGAATTTTCCTTATATGGTGTTGGATCACAGCTGACCAAGGGGAACTGAAACCGTGGACAGCAGCACCCTGGGCAAGGGGCATGGCTGTGCTTTCAAGTCCACGGAGCTGCACCGTCTGCAGCTGTGAGGTCGCTAAATTAGCTCAGCTGCCCTTCATTGAGTGTCTTGCTGGTGTGACCGTCACACCTGGGAACAGAATGTTTTCTTGTCAATTTGAAATTGTTTTTAAAGATTTATTTATTTTATTTGAAAGGCAGTTAGAGAGAGAGAGAGAGAGAGAGAGAGAATGAAGTCTTCCACGTGCTAGTTCACTCCCCAGATGGCTGCAATGGCCAGAGCTGAGCTGATCCACTGTTGCTGATGTTGGGTGAGTCGCTGGCCACCCTGCCCTGAGCCTGCAGAGCGGGTTGTGTTTGTGGCCTCTGTGACTCAGTGGTCAAGGCTGCAGCTGTCGTGGCCACTCTTTGTGTGCCCCATGTACTCTTGGGGAAAAGGCAGTGGTGAGAAAGGCGTGGAAAGAGGAGATGGCAGAGGAACCTGTGTCATGCCGATTGCTGTTTACATGTAATGTAAAATAGAGAGACAAAGAGAACTCTTCCGTATGCTGGCTCACTCCCCAAATGCCTGCAGCAGCCAAGGCTGGGTCAGACTAAAGCCAGGGTCCAGCGACCATGTACATGAGCCATCAACTGCTGCCTCCCAGGTGTGCGTTAGCAAGAAGCTGAATTGGAAGCAGAGAGAATTGACTTCTGGAAGAGGTCATTGTCATGGTGTCAGAATGGTTAGGAAATGCATTTGCATCCAGCTCCGTAGGCCAGCCTCAGAACAGCCCTGTAGAGTGGGTTTGTCTCTCATCCCGGCCAGGAGATAGGAGTGAGGCTCGTAGGGGCAGCCGTGGTCCCTGTTCTGGATCGGGATGTTTTCGTTGGTGGGTGTCCTTGGGGTTATCCCAGGGTCTTAGGAATGTGCCCTGGCTTGAATACCTCCCTAACATATTGCATATCCCAAAGCCTGCGTGAGGGCTTTGTTCCGTCGTCAGCTGGGCCCTCACACACTGGTGCTCAGTACCTATTTATGGAGTGAATAAAGCAGTCAGCAGGTGAGACAGCGAACACTGAACAAAGCGCTGGTCGGATGCCACATTGTTCCATTCTTCCCGCAGCCAGGGGAAGGTTTGATTCCTTGTACTTTGCTGGGGACTTTGACTTGTGAGGTCTTGCAGCCAGGAAGAGGCCGGCAGAGTCTCCGGTTCAGACAGTGCGTGCTGGTGCTCCCAGCCCGGGTGCCGTGCTCATCCTCGTCCATCCTCGTCCATCAGGAGCCCTGATGGTGATCTGAGCTGTGCTGTTCAGAGCCTGTGTGTAATCGCAGGGGTGGGGAACTGGTTTTCTGCCAGGGGCCATTGCATGTTTATAACATCATTAGCAGGCCAAGAAGAATTATCAACTTGAAAATTAGCCTGCTCTGGATTTATTGAATTTAGAATCCTGCCCACGGTTGCCTTGGCAGGACCTCACATGGCCCGGGGGCTGGGTGTTCCACAGCCCTGGGTCATTCCCGACAGAGACTGCAGCCCAGACCCTCTGTGCACCATGGCTCAGTTATTTTTTTCTTTTTTGGAGGAGATGTTTCCCTATTTCTTGTGATTTGTAAAAGATCACCGATGATTCCATGAGCACATGACACAGTCTTTTCAATATTCAAGGCAAGGATTTTGTCAGGAGAGATCAAACTGTTTAAAATGCCTGGTGGGCGGTCTGTCATTTCTGTCACTTTGGATTCATTTTCCTTCCAGCAGTGACCGTCACTCAGTCTCGTTCCCTCTGGTCCAGCTCTGCATACAGAGTTAAAGGGATCTTTCTGAATGTAAGTGATGAATCATGCCGTGCCGCTGGCTTCCCCTTACACCTAGATAAACTCAGAAACGGCCAAGGCTGCCCAGGTGGCCAGCACACCCTCCTCGGCCACTGATGCCCATTCCTCCTCCTGGGTCTCCGCAGGTGCTCCAGCTCCTGACCCCTCAGTCCCCTGGTGTTTCCTGACCTTGGAGGACATCCCTGTCCCCCCTGTGTTCGGGGATCATTTCTGCTGCAGCTGTGTCACCGTCTTTAACGGCTTTTGTCTTTTTTACCCATGTCCTCTTCTGGGTGGTCCTTTCCCCCTGGGCACCGTCGAGCCCCTCCTACCTGCCCCAGGCCGTGCGCCTGCAGAGCTGCAGCCTCACAGCTTTCCCCGGTTTGTACAGAGGTTCCTGTTGGATACTTTTATCCCTGTGGGGGGCTCGAGGAGTCAGCACCCGTGAGGACTGCTGTGAGCCTAAGAGAGCGTCCGTCCGCCGTGAGCGCCGGTGTTCCTGTCCTGCCTTTCTCGGCCTTCCAATGGGTGGGCTTCCCAGTGAGGGGAGAACTGGTCAGAGCCTCAGCTCTTGGCGGATTTCATCTGGCAGCTCCCCGATGGCCAGCTGTGTTCTCTGGGCTGCTGCGGTTTTCCCCTTCTACTTGTTTTGTTTTTTGTAAAGCACCTTTGTGTTTTCTAAGAGGTGCGGTGTTGTGAAATTTGTTTCCGCGTTGCCCACTTGTTGTCCTCTGTCTCCCTGGTGCTCCCTCCTGGCCTCTTCTCCTAGACTTGACTGGCTTTTCTGTGGGTGCGCGCTCGCCCTCTTCCCAGTGGTTCCCGCACCTGTGCCGAGTTCACTGCCGAGTCCTCTCCAGCCAGGGCTCCGGGGTGGGGCTGTGCCATGCCTTGGTGCTCCCGTGTGTGTTGTGGAGTCTGGGTCTGAGGCCCTGTGTCGTCCCTGACTCTCTTCCCGCTCCCTGCTTCACTGTTTCCTCCTGGAAATGGCCAGGCATCTCCACCTGGCACGTGGCGGTGGCAAAATGCCTGGCAGTTACCTGCGGTGGGAGCCTGAGTTAGTTTTGGGAGGGCTGCCGCTTAGAGGCCACTGTGTTCTTCAGGCCTCGAGCTTGGCCACCTGTTGGGATTGCATCCTTTCATCAGTCAGCAGTATTCTGACTTAAAAGAGCGCATTCCAAAACTTAGAAAACTTAGTAATGGCATGGGTACTGTGTTCATTTTTATTTGCATTCAGTCTCACAGAAAAACAGAAATAGCACCCATTTATTTTTCTTTCAAAAAGCAGTCACATAACTATCTGAAGTATTTTCCGATAACGATGGAGTTGTACTGAACGCATCTCCAGTTCAGTGGTAAAGTCGCCAAGGAGATGGAGACCGAACCTGAGATCCCTGTGTCTAGACGTCTGTTACGGGGTGGGTGGGAGACCACGTGCAGGGAACGTGGACGGTGAAAACGGTAAATGGAGGCAGCGACCCTGCTGTTGAGCTCCATGAAGGCTGAGGCCAGGAGGCGACACCTGAGCAGCTTGACAGGGGAGACTGTCTCCCGGGTACTGCCGGCAGAGGTCTGGCGTCGGGGAGCAGCAGGACACGCACGGGGATGCACAGAAGAGCACTGGGGCCGGCCGTGGTACAGCCCTGCGCTGAGAGCAGCCCCGGGCACCTGCGCGCGCAGGAGCTGCCTCCCCAGGGCCTGGCCTGCAACTCCCCGGGGGGCCTGGAGCTCCCAAGGTGTGGGCCGGTTTGGGATGAGCGGCTGCTGCTTTAGCAAGTCACCCAGACCCCTGGAGCCTCAGTGTCCACCCTCACACCCTCAGACTTGGGAATGCAGCTGAGCTGTGGTGAGCGTGAGCGACCATCCTGGGGTGGAGCATCTCCCTTGATGTTGGAAAGGAACGTGCTGTATCAGATGTAACAGAGGGCGCTTGTTTCCGGGAGCCGGGATGGCCGTCACGGGAGGGAGGGAGCCAGGCCACGGGGAGCCCTTAGCAAGCCTTGGGACGCAGCAGGGCCCGGGTACCTCATGGCCGTGGTGTGAGGACAGCCTCACCAGCTGGCAGGGGACGCTTTAGAGGGAGGCGGCCAGCGAGCCTGGTGAACCTGAGAGGTACTCACTCACGCTCACAGGCGAAGCTCACAGAATCTGGTGGCAAACTGGATGTGAAGGTGGCGGGGCAGGCGAGGATGATCTTGATGTTTCTGGAATAAACTGGTTTTAGGTTTTATCTTCTTTCACGTAAAGTGACTTTACTAACCTTTCTGTATTTAAAATCTTTATGGTCCAGAAAAGAAATCTTTTTGAGACCAGATTCTGAGCTTACACTAACTTGTCTTCTGGTGAGACACACCACAAGTGATCCACAGGGCTTGGCCTCTGCGTTTCAGCTCAGACAGGTTTATTTTGTACTACAGAGTGTGTGTTTCCAGCCACGCCTTTTGTATTCAGAAGTGACTCTCAGAGCAGATTTTTATTTTAGATTATAAGCTGTGAAAGTGAAGGTTTTAATAGAAGTGCTCACCCGGCCTGGCCACCGTGACACGCGCAGCGGCCCGTCTGAGCAGAAGGCTCTCAGAGCCAGCAGGCTTCAGTTTCAGGGTAGCAGAGGTTTCTACGAGCAGCTCTGATAAGACTTAAGGTCTTTATCTCATGGGGCCGGCGCGATGGCTCCGCGGGTTAAAGCCGCAGCCTCAGTGCCAGCGTCCCGCATGGGCTCCGGTTTCAGTCCTGGCTCCACTTCCAATCAGGTTCCCTGCTAATACTCCTGGGAAGGTGGAGGGTAACCCAAGAGCTTGGGCCCCTGCACCCAAATGGGAGACCCGGAAGAAACTCCTGGCTTCGGCCTGGCCCAGTCCTAGCTATTGCGGCCTCTTGGGAAGTGAACCAGCAGAAGAAAGACCTACCTACCTCTCTCTCTCTCTCTCTCTAACTCTCTCTAACTCTGCCTCTCAAATAAATAAATAAGTCTTAAAAAAAAAAAGATCTTTTTCAGTCTCGTGTTCTTAAGTTCTGTGAAGTCATTTAAAATTGATGAGCCCATTTTTACTTGATAGCGTTGACACTAGAGCTGCCGCTCCCAGCGTTGAGAACCCTGCGCTCGCTGGCCTTTTCATTTTTGTGAATGTGGCTGTGGTTTCTGGAACCAGAGGGTGCTGCCTCCTGTTGGTGGGCAAGTGCGTTCAACTGAGAGACCCGACAGGCACGCTTGCTGGGGTCTGAATGTGGACGCTTGGTCAGCTGAATGTGGCCACACAGCGACAGAGGAAGTGTTGGCCAGGTTGCCTTGGGGACCTAACAGGGAAAGTCCATGTTCCAGAACTGAGAATCAGCCTTCCATCCCTCTTCCCCTTTCATTCACGCAGCCCCCACCACCACCACCACCACCACCCACCCCCAGTCGCACAGAAGTCTCACTGCGTCCGGTGCCTTCTCCCTCAGCAGGTGCTGCGTCCTGCAGAGAGGCATGGATATGGCTCCGGCCTGCAAGGAGCTTGCAGTCTAGTGGACAACCAGATCCAGCCCCTGATGTGCAGGAGTAGTAGGGAGCTCACCCAGAGGCAGAGGAAGCAACAGGAAAATAGGCAGTCAGGAAAGACTTCAGAGGCGGGGCTGATCGCCAACCCCTGAAGAGGGCCTAGTAGCTTGCCAGTTGGAGGGCAAAGGGTGCAGCGTGGCCACTGAGCACGGCTGGAGTGTGGCGGGCATGGGGAGTAGATGAAGTGAGGGTGCAGCACTGGACAGACCCAGAAGGAGGGAACAGAGCCAGGGCCAGGAGCGGCGCGGAGGGCGGTGCCCTTGAGTCCCTGCAGCAGTCCTGTGATGTGGTTACCGCTCTTCCCTTTGACAGATGAGGAAACAGAGGTGTATTTGCTGGCCCATTGCAGCACTGCAGTTCATACTGGTTAGTGATAGGCTAGGACTTACACACATACCTGACTCTGGGCTGTCATCTCTCTCCAGGCTGTTACCGTGGGAGTGGGTTATTCCTGCTGTGAGCATTTGCCGAGTGACTCCTGCTCGGCCAGTCGGGTTGTACTCCAGTACGGGTTGCTAAAGCATTTCAAGTAGTGCACGGAGGGCTGGGATCCTACAGAAATGGAAGTGCCACGAAGGCAGGGCTTTGCCTGTGTTGTTCAGGACCTGAACCCTCGCCGGTCGGCCGTGGTGAGAGCTCAGAGGACGCTGAGTGAGTAAGCGTGGCTGGTGACAGAGCTGTGGTGTCAGCACTTCTCAGTGCAGTGTGTGGGGAGGCACTTCCTCCCTGCAGAGACGGCTCAATTTAGACGCACCACAGGGACAGGTGTACGGCTTGAGTGGTAATGCTCGTGTGCGCACCACAGTGCCTGGACTTGGTTCCTGTCTCCCGCTTCCTGTGAACGTGGACCCTGGCAGGCAGCAGGAGTGGTTCAAGTAATTGGGTTCCTGCCACCCGTGTGGGAGACCCGGACTGAGCTCCTCACTCCTCACTCTGGCCCTGGGCCCAGCCCTCGCTGCTGTGGACATGAGCCTTGTCTGTCTTTGACTCTTGAATTAAAAAAAGAACAGCAGTAAAAGCACCGTTAAAAAGGGTCAAGACAAATTTGCCAGAAGAAAGAGTCATTCCAAGCTAACCTCATTTTTTTTTTGCTTTGGATTTAAGTTGGGGGAGAGGGAGACGGGGTGGAGCTTAATGCCTGCAAGACCCTCACCTGTGCTATCACAGAGGTGTCCCGCCAGCCCTGGCAACCCGAGGCCACCGTAGGGTTGGAGCTACAGGCCAGGCAGGTGGGTCAGTCACGTTTACTTCTGGATGATGAAGAGCTCGGAGGAGAGCGTCTGGTAGGCGCAGGCTGTCTTGGTTCCAGGAGCTCCTTGACTGCTGAAGGCCCAGCTTCAGTTTGGAAGGCAGAGGTGACTGGGTGGGTGGGTGACATGGAGCCTCTTTCTCTCTGAGCAGCTCGTCTTGGGACCGTGGACCAGTCACTCAGGCTCTCGGGCCTCAGCTTCCACAGTTACGACAAAAGGGGAGAGAAACCCACCCTTCAGCCTTGCAGGAGTGTGAGGCCAGGTGGCACTGGAGGGAAAGGTGTTTATTGATGGTGCTGACAGATGTGTGCTTCTGCTTCTGCAGCGGGGCTCCCATCCCTGCCCGACGAGGGTGCTGAAGTGCTGTGGCGAGGGCTGGGTGGTGGGTGGTGGCTCTGCCCCGGTCAGCGCGCTGTTGCAGAACTGTGTGTGCCAGTTATTCCTTTTTTTTTTTTTTTTTTTTTTTTTGACAGGCAGAGTGGACAGTGAGAGAGAGAGACAGAGAGATAAAGGTCTTCCTTTGCCGTTGGTTCACCCTCCAATGGCCGCCGCAGCTGGCACGCTGCGGCCGGCGCACCGCGCTGATCCGATGGCCGGAGCCAGGTACTTATCCTGGTCTCCCATGGGGTGCAGGGCCCAAGTACTTGGGTCATCCTCCACTGCCTTCCCTGGCCACAGCAGAGAGCTGGCCTGGAAGAGGGGCAACCGAGACAGAATCTGGCGCCCCGACCGGGACTAGAACCCGGTGCGCCGGCGCCGCAAGGCGGAGGATTAGCCTAGTGAGCCGCGGCATCGGCCATCCGGTTATTCTTAAGTGCTGAAACTTAACTGAAAAGTGATTGCTGTTAAATATAAGAGTGGGAATAAGAGAGGGAAGGGATGTGCAATTCGGGGCATGCTCAAGCTGACTTCCCTCAAACGGTAGAGTTAGAAACATACCAGGGGATTCCAATTCAATCCCATCAAGGCGGCATGTACCAATGCCATCTCACTAGTCCTAGTAATCAATTTCTGTTCACAATTAATCATGATAGGACTAAGAACCAAAGGGATCACATAAACAAGAATAGTGTCTGCAAATACTAGCTGATAGAATAAAAAAGGGAGAGAATGATCCAACATGGGAAGTGAGATACACAGCAGACCCATAGAATGGCAGATGTCCTAAACAGCACTCTGGCCTCAGAATCAGCCCTAAAGGCATGCAGAGCCAGCTGAAAAGCCCATGAGAGTATTTCAGGCATGGAAAGCCAAGACACTCTGGGGGGAAAAAATGACCTAAATGAAAGATCTCTGTGAGATCCCAGTGGAAAGAACAGGTCATCAAAGAAGGAGGTACCTTTCTCTGAAGGGAGGAGAGAACTTCCACTCTGACTACGACCTTGTCTAAATATGATCAGAGTCGGTGAACTCAAAAGGCTTTCATAGCCTTGGCAACTCATGACTGGAGCATAGGGAGATTGCTGATGCCATAAACAAGAGTGTCAATTTGTAAAGTCAACAACAGGAGTCACTGTGCACTTACTCCACATGTAGGATCTCTGTCCTTAATGTGCTGTACATTGCGATTTAAGGCTATAACTAGTACTCAAACAGTATTTTTCACTTTGTGTTTCTATGTGGGTGCAAACTGTTGAAATCTTTACTTAATATATACTAAATGGATCTTCTGTATATAAAGAGAATTGAAAATGAATCTTGATGTGAATGGAAGGGGAGAGGGAGTGGGAAAGGGGAGGGTTGCGGGAGGGAGGGAAGTTATGGGGGGGAAGCCATTGTAATACATAAGCTGTATTTTGGAAATTTATATTCACTAAATAAAAGTTAAAAAAAAAAAAAGAAAAAAAGAAAGAACGGTGTGTGCCAGGCACCTGCAGGGCTGGGGCACACGCCCCGGCACTGTCTCCTCAGTCCCTCGTTCATGAGCTCTTTGGGGAAACACGACAAATGGGGAAAAGCAAGTGACAGCGAGATGTTCGGACATTGGCTTGTGGAAGAGTAAATCCAGCCAGAAATCGTTAAGGGAACTGAAGAGGCGGGAAGTCAAGTGATTTAAGAGTTTGCTGCATGAAAACATAGCTGTGGTCCAAAGGCAGTAAAAATCAATAATGGCTTTCAAACATTAAACCTTATAGACTGGTTTTATAAGATTTATACATAGTCTGTCCAGACAATATACTTGGCAAGTAGTAGAAAAAGATAAAAACACACACTTCTTGATGAATGGTTTAATTGTGACAGTGAATTGGCTTCTGACTGCTTTACCAGTTCTTAGAATAAATACATCGGAAAAGAAAGGTAGGGGACAGCTAATCACCCCGTATAGCCAAAATGAACAGTTTGAGAAATTTTACATTCTTTTAACTTTTTTTCAAAGATTTATTAGTTGAAAGATTTACAGAGAGAGAGGGAGAGACAGAGATCTTCCATCCACTGATTCACTCCCCAAGTGGCTACAATGGCTGGAGTTGGGCCGATCCAAGGCCAGGAGCCAGGAGCCTCATCTGTGTCTGCCACACTTGGGCTGTCTGCTGCTGGTTTCCCAGGTGCATTGGTGGGGAGCTGGATTGGAAGTGGAACAGCCAAGACTTGAACCAGCACCCATGGGGGATGCCGGAGCTGCAGGTGACAGTCTAGCCCACTACAACACAATGCCAGCTCCAGTTTTTAACTTTTTTAAAATTGATGTTTACTGCACAGTACACATGAGTTTTTTACTCAAGTAACCACAGCGGAGATTGGAGATTCCCGGCGATTCTGGCAGCCCAGGAAGCTCCGCGGTGTCCTTTCCCAGTCACTTCTCACCCCCTTTGCAGGAGTGGCCACTCGGAGTCTGTTGCCGTCTGTGAGCCCAGCCTGTTTGTGGACGTTGGATCAGTGGAGTGTGACAGCATGGGCCCTTTTGCAGGTGGCCTTTCTGGTTCTGGGAGGAGTGCGTGAGATTTGTCTGTGTTGCTGGGTATAAGTCATATAGCCTCTTCATTGTTGTATAGTTTTTCATTGAATACACTCTGTCTTTTTTTTTTTTTTTTTTTTTTTTTTTTGACAGAGTGGATAGTGAGAGAGAGAGAGACAGAAAGGTCTTCCTTTTGCCGTTGGTTCACCCTCCAATGGCCGCCACGGCTGGCGCGCTGCGGCCGGCGCACCGCGCTGATCCGAAGGCAGGAGCCAGGTGCTTCTCCTGGTCTCCCATGGGGTGCAGGGCCCAAGCACTTGGGCCATCCTCCACTGCACTCCTGGGCCACAGCAGAGAGCTGGCCTGGAAGAGGGGCAACCGGGACAGAATATGGCACCCCGACCGGGACTGGAACCCGGTGTGCTGGCGCTGCGAGGCGGAGGATTAGCCTAGTGAGCCGCGGCGCCGGCCTCCTGTTCCAATTTTTATACATTGTTCTGTTGATGGACATTTTGGTTGCTTGCAGTTTTGTATTATTTTAAGTGGAGCTGCGGTATGTAATCTCGTATATGTCTTGTGAACAGACATATTTGTTCTGGGTATTGGGAAAATTCCTAGGTTACGGTGTGTGTGTGTGTGTGTGTTTTGGCTTCAGTCAGGACATTGCTCAGCTGTGTATCGTAGTGGTTGGACTGGTTACACCCCTACCAGCAATGCCTGCACTCCCTCACCAGCACTTGGTCTTTGGGGACATTCTGGTGGACGACAGTGGAATTTCACTGTAACTTTAATTTCCACTCCTTAGTGACTAGTGGTGTTGGGTATGTTTTTGTTTGTTAGCTACTTGGATAGCCTCTTTGGGGACGTGCCTGTTCAAATACTTTGCTCAGGGCGCATGTTGTGGAGCAGTGGTTTAAGCCACTGAATACCTGCATCCACATTGGAGTGCCTGGTTTGGGTCCTTGCTATTCGATGCTTCTGACCCAGCCTCCTGCTAAGGTGCCTGGGAGGCAGCAGATGATGGCTCAGGTACTTGGGTTCCTGCCACCCACATGGGGGACCTGGATGAGTTCTTGGCTCCTGGCTTTGGCCTGACCTGGCCCTGACTGTTTTGGCTATTCAGAGAAGGAACCAGCGGATGGAAGAACTTGCTCTCTGCCTCCGTCCCCTGCTGTGATGCTGCTCCCATCACTCTGCCTTTCAAATGAATAAATAAATAAATACTTTTTAAAGAATTGGCCTCTTTAAAAGCAAACCAAAAAATCCAACTTTTGCTTATTAAAAGAAATTTTTAATGGCTTACTTAATCAAATATATGATATTCTTTAAACATGTAACCAATGTAAACTTATTAGTGACATAGCTTATATTTTTAAAAATAAATTTCAAAGTCCAATTTGTATTTTGGTGGGGGATATGTTACTAATTTCTTTCACTGTGGTAGAGTATGTATGACATAAAATATGCCATTTTAAATGTTAAGTGTACAGTTCAGTGGCATTAATTGCATTCATAATGTGATGTAGCCGTCATTCATAATGTGATGTAGCCGTCATTCATAATGTGATGTAGCCGTCATTCATAATGTGATGTAGCCGTCATTCATAATGTGATGTAGCCGTCACCACTGCGTGTTTCCCAAACTTTTTCATCAGCCCAGAGGGAAGTCTACATTACACAGAAACTCCTTATTCCCGCCCACATTGCCTGATGGTGATTTGGTGTTTTCTTCTGGGTGTGGGTCTTGTCCAAGGGCTGGCCTCCTAGTTATTCTCCTAGTGGTGTGATTGGGTGGGTAGAAGTCCTTGACTTCAATGAAGTCTGATTCATCAGTTTTATTTTTAAAGGTAGTGTTTTTATTTGCTCTGTAAGCATTCTTGAAAGCAGGTGTTTGGCCTCGTGGTTCAGAAGCTCGTGTGCCACAGGAGAGTCGTTGGGTTGGAGTCCCAGCTCCGGCTCTGACTCCCGCTTCTTACTGATGCAGATCCTGGCAGACAGCAGCAGTTGGTTCCCTCCCTCCTGCCTGGGATCCCTGGATTGTGTTCCAGCTTCTGGCTTCAGCCCTGGCCCAGTCCAAGCCCTTGCAGGCACTTGGGGAGTGAGCCAAGGGGTGGGAGCTTGCTCTCTCTCTCCTCTCTCTCTCTCTCTCTCTGCCTCTCAGAAACAAGCAGGCAGTGCTTAGGTTCTCAGCTGAGAGTATTTTATTTTGGGTGATGCCTGTAGTTTTGGCTGTCCAGGCTGGACCAGTGAGGCACAGGACAGCCATCGCACTCCCCCCCGAACAAAAAACTGGCTGGCTGGAGCTGGGTACCTGGCCTAGCATAGGATGGGAAGACATTGCTGATGTTTGCCTCTAGGAGCGTCTTGCTTTGCTTTTCGCAGCTGTAGCGTGATCCATCTCCTTAATCCTCACGGACGTGGTGAGAATGCCGCAGAAATCGTGGCCATCCCACACCCGTGCTCCTAGCCTTTTATTGAGAACAAAACTCACTACATTAATTACCAGGAGCTTTACAAGGGATATCTTAACATATGGAATAAGGTCTTGTTATGTGGTGCCTTAAAAGCCACGTTTGAAGCATGAATATAAATGGGCTGGCTTCTGCTGAAGAGAGTCTCCCCCTCCCTTCCAGTCTCTCCCTTCCAGAGAGCTTGATGTAGTTTCTGCTGTGATGGCTTTGCAGACTTTCCGGTTACGGCCTCAGAGGAAACTGAAAGCCCGGCTTTGCCCCTGCACAGAAGACTCGGCTCAGAGAGCGAGTTGGCTCTACGGTGTTCTGTGGGTTCTTTGCACACAGGTCATGGTTAGCTGGACATTGGTCAGACAGAAGGGATTTGTCTTGCACTGTTTTCACTGCGGGCCAGCGGCCCTTACACCTGTCCGGTCTCCAGAAAGCTGACCGTTTCAGTGCACAGGGCTTAGTAAAGTGGTTGTGCTGTTTAGGCTCATTATGGGAGGTAGAACTTAGGAAGCACAGTTCATGCATGTGGCAGCTGTTACTGAGAGGGAAGGTGACATTTTCCTTTTTAAAAAATGTTTAGGACTCCTCATTGAGTATTAGATGTGCTACATTCGTGTAGAGATAGATATAGATGGTGTGGTTAGGTGAAGGGATTCAGGATCTTCTTCACTTACCAGCTGGGTGACCCAGGGAAGTTTTTTCTGAGCCTTAGTTTACCTGTCAAATGGAGGTGAGAGTCGTACCTCACCAGGGTTATTGTGGGGTTTAAGTTTGTTGACATGCAGCAAATATTTGCAATATTTTATGTGCCCAGAACATAGCAGGCACTCAGTAAATATTAATGTTTACTGTTATTATTTTTTAAAGATTTATTTTACTTACTTGAAGGGCAGAGTTACAGAGAGAGAGAGAGGGAGGGAGCGAGATCTTCCATCCACTGGTTCACTCCCCAAATGGCCTCAACGGCCAGGGCTGAGCCAGGCTGAAACCAAGAGCCAGGAATTCCTGGTCTCCCATGTGGGTGCAGGGGCCCAAGCACTTGGACCATCTTCCACTGCTTTCCCAGGCCATCATTAGGGAGTTGGCATAGAAGTGGAGCAGTCGGGACTCAAACCGGCACCCATATGGGGTGCCAGCATTGTAGGCAGCAGCTTAACCCACTATGCTACTATGCCATCCTCAGTGTTTATTTTTTAATGAGCTGCTATAGACAGTAGTGAAATTCAGGCACACAGGCAGGTTTGGGCCACTGGCACTGGGAGGTGAAGCAGGTATGCTGTGTGTGTGTGTGGGGAGGGTGCTGCTGGGGTAGTGTGTCCAGGAGCTTGGACCTCAGACACGTCTGTTGAAGACGTGTGCTAGGTCAGGCCAGAGGCCTCTCAGCCCAAGGGAGAGCAGTTAGCCAGGACCTCTGGCATTGGTTCCAGGGACCTTTCTGACTGCCACCACCCCTTGTTAAAAAATTACGAGATACAGTGCATACGGTAGAAGTGTGAGACAGTGCCAGCTAGCTG